TGCCTTAATTACTGTTTCTTTCCGCCTCAATAACTATTAAGCCTAACTGTTAAACAAAAATTGGGAAAACAAGTTGTGAAATACTAGCACATTTCCTAGAAATTGTAACAATTCAAATTACCACTATTATGAAAACGTAAGTAATTAAAATACTATAAACATAAAATAAACCTCTATGAGGTGCATGAATCGCTAGATATCTTTTAACGTTTAAATTAAATAAATATATTGTTTATATATGATATGGTTTTTAAAAATCGTTACAAAATAGACATAAAAACAGGAAAGGAATTGCATATAAATCTTAATGTCTACACTGTTAGAATTTTGGACCATGTCAAACTATAATATCGCTTAAATTTTCTGATCCTTCGTAAATTCGAACTATAATGTCGAGTAAATTAATTTTTCTCGAGCTTGTAAAAAATTCCTGTTATATCAATGGTGGAGTAACTGTAAAAAATTCCGAATCGAATTACGGTAAAAAGTACCGGCCGGCACTTAGGGTGCAGCACTTTTTACCGTAATTTTTTCTAGAATTTTTTACAGTATAATTCAATCTAAAAGAAAGTTGTTTAATTTAACACTTTGGGTTATAACGTATGCGCATGATGGTACAGTTCAAGTATCGATAAATCGGTTAAATGTTGAACCAACTTGTTTGAAAATGCAGCATCTGTAACAAAACATGCTTGGGGCTCCATACTAAACCTTCTGCGAATAAATTTTATTTTATTTTTACTTTTTTTTCTTTCATTTTATTTATTTTTATTTTATGTTAATTTTTTTTTTTTGTTAGTAAAACTGTTATTTAAACTTTATAATGACAATTTATTCTTTTCAACAGTTATTAACGAAACAATTTTTGTTATTAAAATATATAATTCGAGAAATGCGCACTTTTATCTGATGTTGTTGATATTTATCCAAGTTGCTGATATTTAATGGGTCAATATTATCCTGGCAACTTATCTATCTGCTGATAAGAAAAAATTTCGATATTATTAGAATTTGCGAGTATTTGACAAGATAATTTTGTTTAGAGCAATTTAGCTCAAATTCGGAGCGTCAGATTAGTCAATATAAAATATTCCGTATTATTATTATTTAAATTTTTTGAAAAATGTTTTCCTCCTATGAAGAACGAAGTAAAATGTTATTGGTGTGTTCTTCAAGATCCTAGTTTTTTATCACCTCTGTTTCCAGTAAGTTTTTCTTCCTTCTATGCGAATTGTAATCATAAAATTGAAAATTATTTTAAATGTGTTCAAACAAAAAAAATATTTCAAGCTATTTTATTTAACAAACTATTTTTTTTTGAATTGTCAGCATAATTCTCCATAAAAAATGTTTTATGAAAGCAGCTGATTATACTGTAGAAAAAGTATAGTGTAAACTGCCAAATATGATAAAATTTACCTTGTTTCTGGTTCTTTGAACACACCAAAACAAATGGTAATTTTTACCAACGTGGCTTGGTTATGATTTTTTGGTAAAATAAGCAACAAAATGTGTTTTTATTAGCATGCTGTTTGGTAGTAAATGTAGTAAAATGTCAGCTAAGAAAAAAGTAATTTTTCATGATACCTTAGAATAAGGCATAAAACCATTTTTTCGGTAAAAATAAACTTTTCAGTTTTGTATTTTTACTGAATGAGTGGTAATAGGACTATAATTTTGAAGTAAAGAATTTCCGGTTAACCGTTACCGTAGAACTGAAAAATTAACAAATAAATGGTTTAAATACCGTATATTTTTATTTTATTCTCAGAATGATGGTTATTTTAACCACAATTTTTTCTCCGTGATAATTTTTTGCTTTAAAATTTATATAATTTTCTTCCACAATATAAAAAAATAACAAGAAATAAAAGTTTTTTAATTTTTCTGAACAATTCTGTTAATGCAAACAAATAACAATAACATTGGTCAACTATTTTTATGATTTTAGCTTTAAATATCTGACTATGACAATTAATCTTTAAAATGTATGGTAACTCAGGTTTTTTTTTATCATATAGAAATAAATTGCTTTAAAATAATCTGCGACTAATGTTAAAATAATAATATTGAACTAAGTAGAATAAAGGTAAAAATTATTCAAATCCCTCAGAAAATTTAATTGAATACATTTTTAAGCGATTCAACTAACTTATCTCTGAAATTAATTTTAATGTAAATTAATGAAATACGTTGTGAATAAAATACAAAACTAATACGACGCATTTTTATTGAACGACTTAAATATCCAAATACCTAACTTATGTTAAAAATATTTTCTCACATTTGGTTAAATTTTACGAAAATATCTGTGTCAGTAGTGTTTAAAAAAGCTAAAAACATAGTTCTTTATATATCAGAATTATTGAGTATTTTTCTTAGTATTTAAAAGAAGAAAAATCAACATTTTTATAAAATCCTTTATCAATTCATTTTTTTTTCATACATCGGATCACTTTAGTATTTCAAAGGTCCACACGAAATGGTGCTAGAAATTTTTAAATATTTCTGACCAGCAAGATTAATTTTCTACAATATTTTAAAACGTAATGTCTACAACTTTCCTTTATTTATTAAAAATTGTCAATTTTTATTTTTTATTTAAATAGATTTTAAAAAATTACTTTTAATTTGCTTTTTAAAATTAAAATAAATATAAATTAGTTTTGTAATTATTTTTAACGCATATTATTTTGTAAAAATATTTTTTTAAAAAAACTTTCATGACACATATTACGTAATTGTTTCTGTTGGTGTAGCACGAAATATCTTTTAATTATTCCTAAAAGTTAGAATTATATTATTTTACTAAGCAAAAATAGACTTCAAAAGGTCAAAATGGTTTTAATGTAATATATATTTAATTAAAATAATTTATATAATATTAAACTAAAATTTTTGCGGTTAAAACACGTAATTTTTTTGTCTTGCGAATAATCTTTTAACTGAGAAAGAAACCATGAACTATACGAATCGAATCCGATTTATCGATAATTACAGACAACAGTAAGAAATATATTGAGACCAAATAAAATAGTTCGTCTTGGGTGGTCTGAGGAATCACAACATATGTCTTAAATAAAATCTAAATATCTAGTTCTCTTTTCCATATCTGTATATTAATAACTATCTACCGCTTTGTATTCATATAATTTAGATACTGTTTTCCTTTCAAGTAAAATTATAGATGTATATAACTCAAAATTTATCTTAGCACATAAACCAGATTTTATTTGATTAAGCCTGTCCTTGCAATTTTATTCCTGTTTGCTCGTAAAAACATTGTTTTTACATCGGTAGATTGCGCTTAATTCTTTGAAACATATCTAATTTATTAAATTAATTTCCGTATTTTGAAGTTTGATCTAATTTTTTTTCATTACTAGACTTCTTCAAGGATGAAGTTTTTTTTATTAAACTAGTCAGAGTTTTTTGAATTTTAATAAAAGATTGAATGCGAATTTTTTTCTTCAAATAACCAAGAAATAAATAATAGACAAATAATCCAACAGAACAATATCAACCTTGTGGATCTAAATAAATTTTTAAAATAGTTTTATTTTGCAAAATAGTGTTTAAATTCAATGAGAAATATTTTGTGTCCTTTTTGTCCGAAAATAGATCTGTTACCATCTATTTTAAACGAAATTGAAACATCTTTTTAAAATCGTTATTAGATTTTATCTGCATTTAGCTTTATTGAATCTTTTAAGTTATTGAATCTTTTAGAATAACATGCATTCGCATTTGCGATATGAAAAAAGAAGTTTTTTGTTAAAATTATAGAAATTATTATCGAATTATAGAAATTATTATAGAATTATAGATGTTAAGTAAAACATTTGTAACAATATCGATGGCTCGGAAAAACACTATTAACTTAGCGAATCTAAATAAATTTTTCAAAATAGTGTTAAATTCATTGATAAATATTTTGTGCATTTTTATCTGGAAATAGATCTGTTACCAACTATTTTAAGCAAAATTAAAACATCTTTTTCAAATTCTTTTCTACATTTTATGTGTAACCAGTTTTTTTGAAAAGTACATTTAATCTTTTAGAATAACATTGCGTTCACATTTGTGATACGAAAAAAAGATGTTTTTCATTAGAATAATTAGATAAAAAAAATTAAAGTGAAATACACTTTTTTTTAAAAAAAAGGCTGTAACTATTTCGATGCTAACTCATTATTTTAGTAAAGAAAATATAGTAATATAACATTTTATTGAAAATACTACGTATCTATCCGCGTTTTTTTTCACATTTTCATACTTTTATTTTCAAATGTAGTAAGCGATTTCAAAAGGAAGAAGTGGCTGTCTCTAATTTGTTCATGTATATTTCTTCCCTAGAACGTTACTTTATTAAACAAAGGAAAGACAAACAAAGAGTCATTTAAATTTTATAACTCTAGTGGATCTATAACTAAGAAAACTGTAAGCCTGTAAACTGTACGCTCTGTAACCAAGATTAAAACACTGTTTATTAATTTGTTGTAACCAAGGATTCGAAACCATTTTCCTAATTTCCTACATGAAAAGAAAACATTAAAATAGTTTAAAAAATTGAAAATGCCAGCCCCTAGATATAAGGTCACAAACAGCTTACAACATCTGTGGCTACTCTTTAAAAACGCTTAATCACGTGTATGTTAGATGCTAAAGCAAAAATTTATAATTGTGGTGATTCGGGCAATACAGATTTTCTATGGACCCTGTACACAAAAAAATATAGATTACATGTTTCAAATGTTAATATCAAAACTAATAGACCTTTTTTTGATGTTGCTATGCTTAATCATTGATTAACATATTGCTGTGGTAATAAATCACGTTTATTTTGCGTAAATCGCAATTAATAAAATTAAACACAAACGCATACACACACTATTGTTTCGGTTAAATGCAGAGTCTTTCTCTGTTTGATTTTGCACTTAAATATACATGTTAAATGAAATTTTAAAAATTCTAATAGTTTCTCGTCTTTTTTGTTTTAGATTTAGAAATACAAGATATTCCATTTCTATGATTCAACATGTTCGGATCAAACGGGCCATGCTCCCCAACAGACTACATGTCCCAATACTCGAACATTCTGGAACCCATCTACTACCCAACTTCGTCAGAAGTCTTTCCTCAAAACCAACTATTCTCATTCGACTCCGATCCTGACTGTCACAGCTCTGCACCACCCACACCTGATGTTATTTCAGGTCTCATTAGCTTGACGAGTGGTCCTAGTCCATCAGAGATGTCATGTGGATCTTTTGGGGACATTACATCCCCTGAAGACTACAATTCGGCATCGTCACCACCATATCCATCTGTGGACATCTCTGCTGTGAAAGCCACAAGAACTAAACTCATCAAAGAAGGACTTAAGTTGACTATCCAAAGTAGAAGAATGGTCCATGGCTTGGACAATGTTAGACCCGAATATCGGCACCCCCCTAAAGAAGAGGTAAGAAGTATTTTGATGCAATCGAACTTTACAAAACTATACTTTTGAACTAGTAGCTTAACACTGTAATTGTTCAGTGTTAAGCTACTAGTTCAAAATACTTTGTTTAAATGAATGCATTTAGTTCATCAGGATAAATCCAATCGTAGGATTAATCCTGATGAACAAAATGCCTTCATTTAAACGGAGTATTATATTAAAATTAAACAATCTGTGTAAGCCAAAATTTGTTTTTAAAAAAAAGTTTTGAATTTAACATTACTGTCTTAAACAGTTTTGCATTTGGCGCTTTTCCAGTAGATATAAGAACAACAAAAATTTTACACCATAAAAATTAAGGATATTTTTTATCTTCACATCACTTCAACTATCACAAAATATTAAATGGGTCAATATTTTATAAGACATAATCTATGATCCGTGTAAAGAAAACATGCTAAATGAGAATAGTGAAATTATATACGAGTGACAAACTTTAAAAGCGTATTTAGCAACCCAGCTTAAGTTTAAAAAGGGAGATACTATTTAAAAAGTGGCAGCACCGAACACTAAACTCTCTAGCGAGGTAGGGGAGGAGATTAAACTATTATCTTAGAGCACAGTAAAAAAGGACTTTTTAAACATTAAAAACTAAACATTTAGGTTTTTCTAAAATTACTTTATACTACATATTCTATTTGCATTAGTTACTAGGAAAGTTAAAGGTTGTCAATATTTCAGACACTTTAATTATATACCTTCGGAACATTTAATAGGATACAACCAACTTCATCAATAAGATGAATAGAGTACAAGTCTTCATTACCACTTTCTTACATGCACCAATTATATAATTTAAAATTTGAAGTATCTTTTATGAACCTAATAAGTGCTTTTGAATGCTAGTGCCTCACTTTTGTCAAAAATTCTAAGATCAAATAGATAAAAATGAATCTTAATTGGTCTTATATCTTACCCAGAAAAAAAAATTCGTAAAATTCCAACAATATTTTATTTTAAAAATTATTTTATATAAATAATGTATGACTAAGAACTATTTCATCTACAAAAATTCAGATAGTAAAAGTACAAGGTATAGCTGGCGTGTGATAATTCTTACAATATGTCTTTCTCTCTCTCTCTCTCTCTCTTTGTATATATATATATATATATCTTTTTTTAATTCAATTTTTGCTTTCATTTTTCTTAGGTTGAAAAGTTAAAGCATATTTAAGTTGTCTCGTGATGAGTAAAAAATGCTTATGTTGAGAACGGAGTTTGTAAGTGGCACTGCATGTAGCCACTAAAGTTATGACATCATTATTGTTCTTGATCACCTAATAAAATGACACGAGCGTCAACGGCTCGCGATCTTGTTATCGTTTTTCCTTTAATAAACGTTTTTTGTGAAATGAACCTGAATTATATTTCAACTAACAACACAACCGCATCTGGTAGAGCCAGCCGATAGATTTATGAAGTTATTTTAGTGTTGTTCGCAACAGCTTATTTTTAACTATAGAAAATTTGTTTACAGGTTTTTTTTT